TAAACCCAATATCAAATTTTATTAAAATATAACTTTTGACTCTCATTTTTACATAATGTGACAGAGGTACTTTGCATCAGGTTTTGTAAATATTAAAGAAAGGTGTATTTTCTGTATCTGACACCAAAACCATGTCTCCCTCATTCTGAGAAGCCCTGTGTACAAGAATACTTCTTAAATTAAAGTGGAGTTCCACCCAAAAGGGGAAATTCCGATTTAATGCTTTGTCCCCTGCTCCCCATTAAGGATTGGCACCTTTGAGGAGCGGGGGCGATCAAAAGCGAAAGTTGTCCTCCCTCCCCGTAGTCTTCTGGGACACGTGACAGGTCCCAGAAGACTACGGGGCCATTCACAAAGTGCATCGCTTCTCACGCATGCGCAGTGGGCACCCGGCTGTGAAGCCGCAAGCTGTTACAGCCGAGGGGTTCCCACACTAAAGATGCCAGCGCTAGGGGGAGAAGACGGCTGGTGAAACCATCAGTGGACCGAGGGACAGGTGAGTGGCTGTATTTTAAAAGTCAGCGGCTACAGTTTTTGTAGCTGCTGGATTTTTTTCATCTGGAACTCTGTTTTAAGCTAAATCCTGGATCAGGACACTACAATTGGCCTTGCTTATCTGTTCCTGGAGCTGTTGTATCCATGTCTGTACCTTAGACTCCTTCAGTAGGGCACAAGCTCTTTTAGGCTTTCTGGTAACAGAATCATAACATTTACACCTGCCCTTAATACACTAAAATGCATCTGTTGCTATTGTTCTGTATATCATTGTTGTGTTGAGTAGGGAGCTATCTATTGAGTTTTCACTGCAACTGCTCCTGTTTTTATTATTCCTTTCAACAAGAATAGGGAGTGTCATGCTAGTAAAGATTCCTCATCTACCACTGCAGCCATTTTAGTTTCCTGAAGAACACCAGTGAAGGTCTCCGCTATTCTCCCATTGATACACATATGCCTGTATGTTCATTCATTGTGTTTGTTGAGACACATATATATCTAGAATGCATTTAAATATATTTAATGTGATTTGTAGGTAGCTGTTTACAAGAAATGTTTTTCATTGTATGCATTTGTGAGAAACATATTAACAAGCATATTGTAACTTCAGTTTATGTGATTGTATTGCAGTTTTACAGAACTATTCACAGAAGTAAATTCAGTTTTGGAATGAAACACAATGCTGCTTCTGCCAGTTTTTTTAGCTAGCTGTCGGCTAACCGTTAGTAGGACAGCATAGCTATAGCTACATTTTTGCAGGTACACGTTAGTTGAATGTGACAGTTTAGGAGACAGACACAGGGAACATGACGTATTGGCATTGTGCTTTTATTTCTGATTGCTTTCACTAGATAGATCTGCTTTGCAGGGGGATGACTGGAGGTGGGCTTTAGGTATGAAACAGGTGCAAGTTTGTGACCAGTTTTCCAGATCATAAAGACCACTTCATTGTGCACAGAGCAAATGTAGTTTGCTGGCTAAGCAAGTTGTCACTTTCTAGCATCTTTGCTTCAGAGTGAACCAACTTGATTAAAGTAGAACTATAAACTTAGTTTTTTTCATTTTGGATAGAGTAAGGGATGGTATAGTTTATTTATTGCAATCTGCATCCCATTGGGGAGAATCCCCTTTGCTACCTGTTCCATAGCAAAATAGGAAGGGAGAGGAAATACCTGCAAATTAGGGGAATCCCCCCAGGTCACCTGTCACAAGTTAGCATGCAGGTTTCCTGCCTGAGTATTCTTACCTCCTTGCTGCAGTGTTTCTGATGGTTCTGTGATTCCTTCAGAATTTCTTAGAATAGTCCCAGTGCCTCCTGAAGAGCAGTAAAAAGACTTTATGACACCTGTTTATTGCATACAGATTTATATCATCTCAAAGTGTGCTTTATTAGTGTGGTGACAGAGAGAATGCATGATATGGTCCAGGCAGAACTGCAGCTGGGGTACATGGGTTACAAGAATATATAAATTCATTTTCATATATTTTTTTAGCAGAATGACAATTCATACTAGTGTGCATATTTCAGATTGTCTGGAAAGGCAAATTACAAATAGAGAGTAATGTACAGCATATATGCCCCCTTAACTTTACTTTCCAACCCTGCTTCACTCTTCCTTAAAATTACATTATACCATTGCCCTACACTGCAATGTCCACTGAAAGACAGCATATGAACCCTTCATATTAACTACCATTAACATATTTTTCTCTTGAAGCTCATACTACACTGTTAGGTGATTTGCTTTTGTAAATTAGGTCACTGGATAATAAATAACTTATTTTTATACATCTCTCTGCCCTGAGGATGAATTTTGTTTTCCATATGTTGTAATAACAACCACCAGCTTTTTTTATTTGTATATTTCCATTAGCCGCAGGAGTTGGTACACATATTAGCTGCCTCTGCAAAACCCGTTCCTTATACGTGTTCTACAAATTCATGTAGTCCTGCAGAATCCCATCTGAGAAATAATTTTCCAAAAAACACTTTTGTGACCATCTTATCATAAGAGCCATGTATGAAAAGATACAATGAAAGAACAACACAATGTTAATTTATCATTAAGTAATACTTTTTTATATTATTAAAACAGTAAATTTCATTTTGTAAAGTTGATCAATGATTGGACCCTACCGCAGGTCTTCCCTTTATTCTCTTTGTTCCATAGTCCCATATTAAGTTCTTCACACAAAGTCGTGGCGATATTTTAGAGTAATAATATGTATACTAGAGTATGCTTCTGGCAGCTCCCACGACACATTATATTTGCCTTTTCTCCCAATCTCCAAATGGGTTTGAGAATTTTGAACTTCTTTCAGAATTTATACAGCAGATGTTGATGAGATCCCTAAAGAATTATATTACAGAGAATGCCAAAAGCAAATGAGAAAGAAAGGTCTGCGGTGATGGAGATTAAGGAAAAAGCTACTAAATTTAAAGTTGTAAAGGAATAAAGTAGCTCAGTTATTAACATAGGTTAATTAGGGCTAGCATTTTTGAAGCAGAAAATTATAATAAGAAATGAAGGAAAAAAGTTTTCAAACATTGTAAATAGCCCCTCTTATTTTCTATCTAGGTACCTTTTCCATTAATCCAAATAGGCTAAATGCATCTGAAAATGAAAGAAAATGAGTATTGTTTTAGGAGGACTAAGACATTTAGAATTCCAAGGTTTATCAGCTATTTAATGTAAGGTGTCCAACAATATAGAGTGGAACAGGTTGATCATTTTGTGCTATGCTTCATGAAATTAATTGACTGAAGTTAAACCAATATCTATTTCATTTGTAAAAACTTTAGTTGCACTGGTCAAACTAATTTGCAATGATTTGTCATTCATGGGCAACTACCGAACATCGAACACTACAAAAACAAACCTATATAGCACAAAACATTATTATTATTATACAGGATTTATATAGTGCCGACAGTTTGCTCACCGCTGTACATTATGGTGGGAGACAGTACAATATCAATGCAATTCAATACAAGAGGGAATCGAGGGCCCTGCTCATTAGAGCTTACAATCTAGGAGGGAAGGGATAGTGGTACAAAAGGTAATAACTGTGGGGGATGGAGTGGTTGGAAGAGTAGAGGTGTTAGCTGAGGGCCGGGTAGGCTTCCCTGAAGAGATAGGTTTTCAGAGTGCGCCTAAAAGTGAGCAGAGTAGGCGATAGTCTGATAGATTGGGGTAGGGAGTTCCAGAGGATGGGGGTAGCCCTGGAGAAGTCCTGGAGATGAGCATGGGAGGAGGAGACAAGGGAGCTACAGAGTAGGAGGTCTTATGAGGAGCGGAGAGTACGGTTTGGGTGATATTTGGAGACAAGATTGGTGATGTAATTTGGAGCAGAGTTATAAATGGCTTTATATGTTATTGTTAATGTTTTGAATTTTATCCGTTGGGCAATGGGAAGCCAGTAAAGGGATTGGCAGAGAGGGATGGCAGATACAGAACGGTTAGTAAGATGGATGAGTCTGGCAGCAGCATTCATGATAGACTGAAGAGGAGATAGCCTGCGATGAGGTAGGCCAATGAGGATGGAGTTACAGTAGTTGAGGCGTGATATAATAAGGGAAGGAAAAAACATGAATTCTCTTGAGGACCTAATAGAAAAGTTCACCTTTTTGGGCAGAATTTCACTTTTCATAATATATAGAAATGTTTTCCAGTGCCATTTCTGTCCCAGCCATTCCAATTGGTTTATCTCTCACTTACCTTATCCACAAGAGGTTTAAAAGCTTGTCAGTTTAGTTGAATTTTTGAAATGATTTTCAGATTTCATCACTTTCTGTACAGTTTTGCCATGTATTTGAAAACACACAGCTGTGAATGGAGCCTCATTGTTCTTGTGTAAGCAAACCAATTTCATTTTCAGGCCCCATTCACACCTAGAGTAGTGTATTTTTGGCTCTTTTTTACAGTGATACACATAAGGCAGCCCATTGATCTAAATGGGCTGCGCTACACGTGGCAAAGTAGCTTATGGAACATTTTTACTTGATGTGGGTTGTATGTTTTTTACTGTGCATTTTGCTGCATGTCACTTGTTTTTTCACATGGCAAAATGTGTGCTTGTTTCTGTGTTTGGTGTGTCGTTAACAATTAATGGCACCAAAAGCACAACTGGTTAATTTTAGGTGTAGAAATGTGGCCATACACTATACAATCTGATTGTACTATCTCTGTATGATCTCCTTTAGATTTACCAAAACCAGGGGCGGACTGACCATTTGGAAACTCGGGCACTGCCCGAGGGCCCGGGGTCAGTAGGGGGCCCCTGAGTTTGGGCAAGGACACAGGGACCCCATGATCCCCTATTGCCCAGGGCCCCATGAGGTGTCAGTCCGCCCTTGACCAAAACTATATAATAGGAGGACACACCATCTATCCAATCACTCTATATCCAATCAGGCAGGCCCTTGCACTACATAGTTGATGGTAGATCTAAAGGAGATTGTACAATCACATTGTATAGTGTACGGCAGGGGCGGACTGACAATCATGGGGCCCCCGGGTAATAGGGGATCATAGGCCCCTGTGTCCTTGCCCAAAGTCAAAAAAGCCTATGAAAAAGGTACCAGGGGCATCTCATGGGGCCCCCTACTGACCCCGGGCCCTCGGGCAGTGCCCGAGTTTCCAAATGGTCAGTCCGCCCCTGGTGTACGGTAAGCTTTACAGAACCCAGAACACATTTCTCCTGTTTTCAATACTACAGCTCTATCCACATAGGCTGTTATATGATCGCTCAGCAGACTCTACTAAATGAATGATCTATGCAAGATGAAATGCACCACTTCCCATCTGGCCCATGTAGATAAACGGCTGAACGGGAGCACTGCCGAGGACGTTACTAAATGTCCTGCCGCATCCATTGCCTGTGCGCGCTCCCTGGGAGTGTGCGGCACTGTGATCCGTGGTTGCTGTGTTTACAGATCGCTGAACGGGACCTCTGTGTGAGGTCCCGATTTATGTGTTCACTGATTGGCCAATCAGTGATCACATGAATAGTAGTAAACAAGATGTCACTTCCTGACATCATTGCTTACTACTTGTTAAATCTGTGAATGATCACAGAGGTCACATGGTACAAGGCTATTCACAACATCCTTGTACCATCTGACAAGCTGTGACTAATCACAGCTGACACAGTATTTCTCTATGGCTGCAGGAATGCAGCCAGAGAGAAGGAGAAATGATTGCTTTTACTCCCATAAAGGCTGTAAAAGCAATCAGTGTAAAATAAGAAGAAAAAAATCTTCATCACCCCCTACAAGTAGTACAGTGTCACTATGGTGACACTGTACTGCTAAGGTGACAGTATGTAAAAAAAAAACATACATAATAATATAAAAAAATAAAATATAAATGTAAAACACTTTTTTGAAAAATTATAATTTTTGGTTATAAACTAATTTGGGTTATTATTTTTTTTTTACTAAAAAGATAGATGAATAAATTTTGGCCAAGATTTATGAAGAAAAGATTATTTATTTGCAAAAAGAAAAACACTTTTTTTTTCAAAATGGTTGGAATTTTTTATTTATATAGCAAAAAAAAAAAAAAAATCCCAGTGGTGAATAAATACTACCAAAATAAAGTTTTATCTGTTTAAAAAAATGCTAAAAATTCATATAGGTAGTGTTGCATGACTGTACAATTGTCATTCAAAGTGTGATAGCGCTGAAAGCTGAAAATTGGCCTGGACAAGAAGGGGGTAAAAGTGTCCGGACTTGAAGTGGTTAAGATAGAAAAAAAAAATGATGCCTGTGTTTTTTAGCACGAGCAGTGATCACTGATTAATTGTATTGGAAATCAGTGCACCTGTGGAAGTTGGTGATAGTGATCTGCTGGAAGGGGGTAAGGCAGCCACTGGTGTGTGCTAATGAGGTCAGCTGGGGAAATCCTTGCTGTGTCTTACTGCTTTTTTTTTTGTCCTAAGGGCCAGAATGGTGTGAACTGTAAGCAAAAACATATCCAAAATGTATCTGGAGTGCTTTTTTGTAGTGTGAACTGGCCCCAAGGGCATGCATTTCAGTGTGCTTTTTTTCTGTATCCAAAATGCACAGAAAGTAGGTTATATGGTTGTCAATGTCATAATTCACATCAGTGCTTGCAGTTCCAGTGCGTTTCGGCTGCAGAAAAAAAGCGGAACAGCTGAATTTGTCCTGCACAAAACTGTACTAGAACGCGGTAAAATGCATAAAAAATGCACTGGAACGCACTAAAATGCAAATGTCTCTATTTAAATTGAAGCGAAAGAGAGGGGAATGAACTTGAGCACATCAAGAACACACCAAAACTGCGTCAAAAACGTGCATCCAGAATGCATCTGGATTATACTGTGAACGTAGCTATAAATCTACATATCAGCATAGCAAGTGATGAAGCGTTCTAAGAAATTCAGCAATGGCTAAGGTAAGGCTTTGTTCTTAAAATCAAAGACAGCGTTTATTTTTCTGCAACAGTGGCACATTAATGGTATATTGGTACATAGGGGAGCTGAAATGTAGAAAAAAAGGGGTAACTTAGCCTTTAAACTTAAGACCCTGCATTCACTATATCTGGTCTCCCACAGTACACAGAACATGGAAGTGTAATTATTTTAGTAAATATAAACTGCAAAATACCTCCTCAACAGTTAGAGCAATCTTGTGACTTCAGCTGAGCACTGGTTAAAGCTTGTAGGAGTTTTCTTTCTGCTCTCAGAGGATGCAAAACCCCTGACATCTGTCTGGACAGTGCTGATTGGTCCTGTGCTGATCAAATGCACTCTCCAAAGCAAAAAAAAACAAAAAAAAAACCTCTCTAGCAATACACACCAAATTGAGCATGTGCAGAAGGGCTATGGGTTCAGTCTTTCTTATCAGTGTGAACATTTGAACAATAATTATGCATTTATAATATATAAAATGTAATTACTAATGAATTACATGGATGACATTTGATTAATTGAATCTATGGTTACTACCTCTGACCAGGGGCGGACTGACCATTTAGAATCTCGGGCACTGCCCGAGGGCCCGGGGTCAGTAGGGGGCCCCATGAGATGCCCCTGGTACCTTTTTCATAGGCTTTTTTGAGTTTTGGCAAGGACATGGGGGCCCCAGGATCCCCTATTGCCCGGGGGCCCCATGAGTTGTCAGTCCGCTTCTGCCTCTGACCCATAACTTTCTTTTATATTGGGATAATGTTATTGTGTTTATGTGTTATTTTAAACAATAAATGTCCGCTATTACGGTCAATGATCTCTGTCAATATTTAATCACAAATGAGATTCCTTTTTTCAAATATTTTAGTTTTGAGATGTTGAGCAAAAGCCATCTTTTGTGTGCAGTATTTTTTGATCTTATATCATAAAATGCTATATGTTAAATCCCCACCACTCAAAGTTGTTCCTTTTGGTTTCATTACCTTGTCATGAGCTATAGTGCCAAATCTTTTTTTACCTCAAGAAATAATGAATTTCAACTAAACTATTACAACTAAATGACTTATAACTTAACTCTGGCCACAAAAAAAAAAACGTTTCTCTGGGGTTTCCCCACAATGAAAGGGTTAAAGTGATTGTAAAGGTACACATTTTTTTTTTTTTAAATAACAAACATGTCATGCTTACCTGCTCTGCGCAATGGTTTTGCACAGAACATCCTGTTTCTCTTGTTCTTGGGTCCCCTACTAGTGCTCCTTGCTCGTCCCCCTTGCCGAGTGCCACTAGAGCCAGATGTTTGCTCTGGGGGCACTTGCGCATGCTCACTGTGTCCGGCCCTGTATGTTCATAAGACACAAAGAGAACAGCTTGGCCCAGCTCCTGTTTCCTTCTCAATGATTGTGATTGGCAACAGAAGAAGCCAATGGCTCCCACTGCTGTGGGTCAGTCAATGAGGAGAGAGAGGCCCAGAAATGTCACTTTTCCCATGCACAGCACTGGGCTGAGAGCAAGCTTTGATAAATACTGGGGGGGCTGAAGGTAAAAAACCTTCAGTCCTTAGAGAACTGCTTTAAATGTGCCTTAACTCTAAGGGGTTTCAGAAGAGACTATATTACTTACCTTCTCCTTTCTCTTGCAGGCTCTCTCAATCTACTTGGCATGTCCCCCACAGCCTCTTCCCTAAGTCATTTTTGTCCTCAGTTGCAATCTCATCCCCTCCACATAGCCCTGCAGTGTATGTGATATCATAGAGAGACAACCACAACCCAAATATTCGAGGGAAAAGAGAACAGCACTGGAGGCTGCAAGAGTCAGGTAAGTAATGCAGCCTCTTGTACTACCCCTTATACTTAAAGCAGAACTACATCTGAGCACCACAAACCAAGAACATTATTTAATCCATTGTTACTGTTCAAAGCAAACTTCCCTATCCATCCATGTCGCCATGCTTTATTTTGCTGAGAAATCACTTTGAAATACATCACCTGCATTTCTGGCAGTGGCCATCTTAACCCCTTCATGCCGGTGCTTCCCGGCCCTTTAAGAGTTTCAGAAGCTGGGAGGCGGGGCGGGGTTTAGGGATCATGTGACCGCCGTGACGCGGTCACATGATCAGGAAAGGTCCTGATCGAAAGAGGAGACCGGGACCTTTCCGTGAGTACCGGACATTTTTGCTGGGAGCATGCAGGGCGCATATGTTTTTTTTTAATAGAACGCAAATGTGCGGCCACTCGGCATCTAGGCCCATTTGTGTGCGGCCGGTGTGAAGAGGTTAAATAAGTGCAGATGATTCACTAAGAATTTACTTCCTGGAATCCATTTGCCCTTAGCTCAGGCATGCATACAAGAGGGGGTGCTTAGCTGAGAAAACCCTTCTCTCCTCCTGAAGACTCCTGGAATGCATGTCATCATTTGCCTAGGTCTGGAAACCAGAAAGTAACAAAATATACCAAAAAAGCTTCCTGGTGCCAAATCCTATTGATACAGAAGAAAAAGAAACCAAACTGTTAGGTACCTAGCAGTTCTTTTTCTTCAGAAAGTAACTTAAGAACTGTAAAAAAAAAAAATGTAAAGCAAATATATATGACACACATTATGCATTTACTAATGTTAGCAGCAAAGTAAATAAAACTAGTCTTTGTGGATTGAGAGGGTGAAGTTCCACTTTAATAAGTATTTAATAAGCATCTCAGGGAGGGGGATGTCACTGTAAGGTTTTTTTCTTTCCAGGAGTTGGGCTTTAACCACAGAAGACTGGTAAAATAGAATAGCATTAGTCTTTAAAGAATTTTGAAAAGATTCTGAAATCTAAACAGTAGAAGTATATTTGCATGTGATGTGCATTCATCCCCCATGCCCTAGCCTACCTGAGAACATTTATGAGATAACTACCACATCAAGCTGCAAGCAGACCATTCCAAGACAGCTGTGTCTTACCCAATCCCATGGCTTTGTTTACAGCTTGCCACCACATTTTCTGTGCAGTGACTGTGCCTGTGCAATGAGCAGTCATAGGGTATAGAGACTTTTTCATAGGTATACTCAGGATACCTAGGGGTTTAACCACTTTCCCTCCAGAGGATTTTGCCCCCCCTTCCTCACCAGGTCATTTTTTAGTATTCAGCGCTGCACTATTTCAACTGGTA